AGGAAGGAAGGGAGGAAGGAAGGGAGAGAGAAGTGCAAATCAAAGCAACATGGTACCATGGAAAACCACTCCTGGTCCATTTGTTCAACGTCTACCTTAGCAGCCCTGCTATGCTTAAACCACTGTGACAGGCTTTCCTTAAGGTGTTAGACAAGAGATAGAACAGAAGAGAGACAAGGCAAAAAATTTAGTAATATTTTCCAGCCTAAACTAAACCTTTATTTTAGTAATGTCTTTAAAAAATGTATTTGCAGGAATGACTCAACCCCTTGTCCCACTCCTTGCCTTGTGTATTCCTTCAGTGCCTAAGTTGATATCTGCAGCTACTATCTCACTCGGAATGCTTCGTTTTTATCATTTCAAAATACTCAAGTCCTTGCTCAAGCTGGGCAAAAGCGTCCAGTAGTGTCAAAACAAAGCAAAGCAGGCCAGAGAGGCTCCTGCCAGAAAGATGCGTTTACCTTCACCAAAAACATCATCCTCTTCATCGACCAGGAGCTCCTCAGCATCAAAAAACTGCATCTTGGAGAGGACAGGCACGAGAGGCAGCAGGCAGCAGCCCCCGGCAGTCTCAGCAGCCACACTGCCAACAGAGGTGATTTCCTTTCCTCGGGTTGCCCAAGCCCTCTGGAGGGCAGCTTCCGCATCTGCCCTGAAGAAAGCAGTTTCATTCATATGAATAGGCTTCTTGAGCCTTTTGAAGAGTGAATCCCAGGTGGGGTAATTCTCACCACTGAGGAGAAAGAATTTTTTGAAAGGGGGCTGCAGATCCGGTTGGATGTGAATACAGTTATCACTCAAAGTCTGAATGCAGTGAATTCTATTTCAAAGCAACAACTTTTATTTTTCCTTAAAGAGGAAGGTGGGCGCTTAACTTTCTTGCTTATGAATTTGAACACAATGGGTTGTGTTGAAAGAGGGAGTTCACATTTCTCATATCTTGGTTTTGCTTCAATGACAATTTATCTGAAAGTAAAGCAAGCCACTATGTTAAACCAAAACAGGCATTTAGAGGACAGAGCTTTTATTTTGCTCAGTAATACTTGCATTTTTCTTTCCTTTTTTTTTTTTTTCCCAAACCTCTTGCATTTAAGGATTGGAAACTTTACAGCATTTAAACCAAATTGAACCATATCTAGGCTTTCTGTGGCTCAATTAAATCTATAGTCAATGAATAGATAACTAGTTTTGGTCAAACATCTTACATTTCACGATATTTACTCAGTTTGATACTTCAGACCGTATCACTAAAGGAGAAAGAAGAAAATGTAACTCAAAAAGCAGTCCTCCCAAAGGGATGAGTAATCACTGAGCTTCTACGTGAGCACCATTGGCTGGCGTCACCATATCGAGCTACCCAACGTGTGCCAAATTCTGTATGGCTGCACAAACAAACACACATCTCTCTGAGTAATACTGAGACTTCATTTTGGGGTTTCCCAGACCACTCCATTGTGTTGTAAGATCTCTTAGGTGGCCAGAAGCTTAGAAAATGCAAATGGAGATGACAGTGAGGAGCTGTTGGCCCAGGGTGTTTATTTTTGGCACTTTATTTACTGCATGGTTTTGAAGATACTCCCAGTGTTACCTTAGAGAAACTGTCCCCTCCTCCTGTAACTGCAACCTTGAAATTGCACCATTTTCTCCCAGAAGAGACTATGGACAACAGGGTTGGAGAAATCCAGCAGTGAGAAGGGATCAGCCCAGAGGAATTCAGGAATCAGACACTGAGGGTTAATTGAGCAGCAACAGTCAGTTCATCCCTGCATTGGTGGCTGCAGCAGTTCCCAAAGACAATGTACAGCTTGGGTCCTGCTGGGATCACCAACTGTTGTCAATCAGGGCTGCAACCATTCTTAGAGGAGAGCTTGGAAATGTCTGGGGTGTTTTGGGTGGCACAATGACTGGGAGTTATTACTGGTATTTAATGTCTTAGCACTCAGGGGCCCAGGGATGTCAACCTTACTGTAATGCATGGAACAGTGGCTCTACAGGAAGAACTGTCCCCTTCCAAATATCAATAATGCCCACCTTGAGACACACTGAGAGGCAGAGAGCTGTAGTTATCCTTTTCTCTAGCTCTCCTTTGCATCTCCCCTTTCTGACCCTTCTACCACCCCACTTGAATGATGTTTCTGGCCAAGGGTTGCACTTAGTTACATAAATTAAATTAATTAAAATGGGCCGTGGTATAGGAAATTTGGATGTGGACTAGAGCTCTCTTTTGTGTGGCTGGGATAAGAGGATGGGTGTCCATTTTGATAATCACTACATTTCTCAACTACTGTCCCATGTCCTTTAATCTCCACAACTTCATGAGGTTGGTGCTATTATCCCATTTTACAGATGAAGCAATGGGGGCTCTGAGAACTTGAAAAACTTTCCTAAGATCAGGCAGCCAGTGAGTGGCAGATTTGACTAACTCCAGAGCTCACTGTGTTACCTCTTGTCTGGATAACTTTATGGGAGTGACTGCACACAGTCTGGGTCACTGCAGCATCCCCGTGGCTCTTGGGGACCGGCACTACCTCCCTCACCTCCTACCTCAGAACCACCTGGTTACCATGTGAACCTGGGGGCTCTCAGCCATTCCACTTCAAAAAGTTAGCATAATCTCTCTAGGCCTATTTTATTATTTTAAGTGGGTGGAATTGTGTCACCCCTATTGAATTCATATGTTGAAGTCCTAACCCTCAGTACCTCAGAATGTGACCTTATTTAGAAATAGGGCCATTGAAGATATAATTAGTTAAGATAAACTCATATCATGTTGGAGGAGGATAGGTCCTTAATCCAATATGACTTATTTCCTCTTAAAAAGGAGAGAGGTAGACAAAGACATACAGACAGGGAGGATAGCATGTGAAGATGAAGGCAGAGATCCACAAGCCAAGGAACAACAAAGATTGCCAGTAAACCACCAAGAGCTAGGGGAGAGGTCTACAAGAGATTCTCCCTCACCTCCCTCAGAAGAACCCATCCTGCCAACGCCTTGACCTTGGACTTCTAGCCTCCACAACTGTGATGCAGTAAGTTTCTGTTGCTTAAGCCACCCAGTTTGTGGTAGTTCGTTACAGCAGTCCTAGAAAACTAATATACTTTCTCATTTGGTTTGTTTTGAGGATTAAGTGGGGTAAATTATGTAAAGGAGCTGACACAGCACATGGTACACAGTAAATACCCAGTTACAATTATACACCTAAATCTCTCACAGGGAAGCTTAGGATATTTACCTAATTGAAGCCTCAATGGGGATAGAGAATGAGAAGTCACCATGCTCCATATAAAACCTCAATAACCCTGAGAAAGTTTCCCTCAGTCTCCTCTTCTCCAATTTAGATATCTCAGAAACACAGCTAACCATCTCAAAGAACAAATCACAAATGCCACCATGAACTTCTTGAAAGCACAGAGTATAGAAAACATGGTTCTTGCTCTCCAAAGTTTACAATTACCTTAGAGAGATATGACATACATGCATGATGTGTTAACTATAAAGAAAAACTAATAAATTACAGATGTATGCATCAATATGGATGAGTTTCAAGAACATAATATTGACTTTGAAAAGTCTCAGAAAATTATAAGTATATGATTATATTGTTATGAGTGTACAAAATGAGCAAATAAAAAAATGTAAATAATTGCTAACACAGAGTGCCAGCAACAGTTCTAAGTACCTTGATTCACTTAATTCCTATATCAACCCTAAGATATATATTTATTTATTACCTCCATTTTAGTTTAAGACCCAAGAGGTGAAGTGATCCTCCTGAGGTCATACATTTGGTAAGTTGTAGAGGTACTGAGATTTGATCCCAGAGTCCAAACTCTTAAACACCAGGTTATACTATCTCTTATCTATGTGAAGTCTAAAAGAATGCTGAGTTTATATACAATTTTAACAAAGGGCAATAAACTGTGAAGAAGTGACTAGACAAAGGAGGCAGAGTAGGGGAATGGGCTCCTAAGAGTGGTGAATTGTGGGAAGGTAACTAGGAATGTATGATAGCTAAGGATTGTTATGCAGACTCATCTCTCATATCAAGAAGAGGACCATGAGACTTAGTCACCCAAGATGGGGAATGAAACACCTTTACAAGTGGAAATTTATAGCACTTAAAGCAGAAAGGAGAAGGGCAGAAGATTCTTTCTCAAAAATAAGTCAAAATAGTACTTATGCTGAAGTAGCATATTTTGGGGGACACATTCTGATCCCCTTCAAATCTATATTAGAAAAGAAAGACTAAAGATAGGGAAATTCAGTGCTTAGTTAAGGGAGATGTAGGTCACAGAGAGTAGTTTTCACTAAGAAATGAGGAGTAAGTCTGGAACGACAATGAAAGAATCTTGCTTTTCAGTGATTGAGGCTAACAGCTCCAATAATTGGATGTGGGGAAGAGAACAAAAGTATAGATGAACCAGTATAAGGCAACCACTTTGATCAAATGCTGATTTGTGACAACCTGTGCTAAATTTAACAAAAGAATTTCATCGAGATCATAAACACAGGAACATAGCAAAGCTTTTATACTCCAAACAGTTGGTGCCCACTTTTTGCCCTACTAGGTCTATGAATTACAGTGATATGAAAGGTCTGGTCCTTGCTTTGTGGAACTTTACTCACTCATTCATGTGTTCATTCATTTGGAGAATAATAATGAATACCTACTATATTTCAGGTACAGTGTGAAATATTTAAGTAAATATATAAGTGACAAGGCACGTGTTGTGTTGAACACATGAAAATCAATATAGTATTATTGAGTTATGAGAATTGAGGCTATAATAATCAATGATTTATTTATTAATTTAAAATATTTCTGCATAGTTTGCTGTTTAAAAAAAAATACCATCTGTGAAGCATGTACAGGAGGAAGACATGCTAGTGGAAAAATTTCATTATCCAACGTGGGCTTTTATTCCAACGGAAGAGCCTCACAATCTTCTCCTGTGCTTCTGGAGAATTTCCCACTTCCTTCAGAAAGTGTTTTAAAATACTTAATTTTCATATATACAAACTTCCGAACAGGGAGAAAAATCTGAAGCAATTAGGAGCAAAATGTTCGAAACAGAAAGGAGAACAAAGTAGGAGAGAGGAATTGAAACTGTGAGGAGTGGTAGGAATCAGGAAAGAAAAAGGTGAAAAAAACCACAGAGTCAGAAATAATCTTATCTTTGGGTAATTTTGCCAGTAAAGATGCACCTAAAAATTTGTTTAACTGTAAAATGCCACGTCTAAAGAGCTGGGACAAAAGGAACATGATTTTTTTTTTTTTTGAAACAGAGTCTGGCTCTGTCGCTCAGGCTGGTGTGCAGGGGCTCGACCTTGGCTCACTGCAACCTCCACCTCCTGGGTTCAAGTGGTTCTCCTGCCTCAGTCTCCTGAGTAGAGTAGCTGGGACTACAGGTATGTGCCACCATGCCCAGCTAATTGTTTTTGTACTTTTAGTAGAGATAGGGTTTCACTATGTTGGTCAGGCAGGTCTTGAACTTCTGACCTCAAGTGATCTGCCTGCCTTGGCCTCCCAAAGTGCTGGGATTACAGGCGTGAGCCACTGCACCTGGCTGGAACATGCTTTTTAATAGTATTCCTGTTTTCATGTTGCACAGAGGAGGTACCAATCTCATGGGTACAATCTCATGAGGGTTGTCTCATGGGGAAAACCCT